TCGCGACGGGCTTTAGTTCCATGACGCGTGGGTTTTAGACCACGGCACTTCACCTATGGCTCACCGTTGCCAGGTGTCCTGTTTTCAGGATTTACCTGGACTCCTCCTATCCACCACCTGGAGACGCGCCCGGTAGGTATGCTCAACCCTCGGGTTTGAAATACATAAAAGTTCTTCATGACCATTTTCGGTGATAAATGCTACATTTAAGGTTAATTTTTTTTAATCCAATATTATAAAATACTTACCGTCTGGTCGACCAGTAAATGGCAACCCAGAGGGTTCAAATTTGGTACGAATATTATAACATATCACATAAAAATATGACTTAACAACGTTTTTTTTTCATACAATTGTAAAGCAATCTGGTTAGAAATAATATTTAATGTGCAGAATATTGCTCACTATACTTTCTGGCACTACTTATTGATGTGACAAAGATAACCATTGCTATTGTTAAAAAAACCTGTTAGGTTTATTAAAAATTGTATGATTGAACTTGAGGTTGGGGTTTGACATTATATACAGGGCCATTCCTGGCGAGCGTGCAGTGCGTGCACGCACGCAGGCGCAACATTCTGGGGACGCAAAATCAAAGAGTCAATCAGTACTTTGTTTTAAGATAAACTTTCTTGCAAATTAACAAATATTTAAAAATACATAGGATAAAGGTTACTGCCTTTATTTGCGTCGGGCGCATTAAAGCCCTATGTCGCTCTTTTTTCGACCGCTATAGCGCCTTTTGCCGCTTTGATATTGAAGGCTTAATTTTTGTTATATGAGTATCAAAATAAAAGGAGAGAAGTTGTCATAATATTTTTTTCTACAACCGAGCGTAAAGTGGCATTGCCGCTCTCGCGAGATAGCCGCGCTTCGCTAAGCCTCGCGCGTCAAACTTCTCCCTCAGAGCGACAATATATCACTTTGCGCACTTAATATCAAATAGCTATAGTATTTGTTTGATAGTTTCAGTTGACGGAAGCAAAGTTTAACAGTCGTTTACACAGTGCATGACTTAACGAGCTTACTCTCTAAAATTGAATAATAATTATCGCCAACAGCAATTTGTATCCCGGACATTTCAACTTCTATGTAAAATTGTCGTCAAAAGTTATAAAAGTAAAACAGTTTTTGAGATATAGTCTATTTTCCATATAATACGGAATTAAATATATATTTCAACAACTGCTCTACTTTCATAATTTTTGACGGTCTTTTCGGTCTCAGGGGACAATTTTATAAAATGTATATACAGTGCTTGCAAACACAAGTCCGACCGGTTTGGGAAGGACGCGTGAAAATAACAAGGATAGAACGCCAAACAGAAGGCGCTTACAATACGCACGCCTGACGCTCTGATCAATCAAATTCTGTTTGGCATTCTATCCTTATTCTTTTCACGCGGATATTGAACAACCGTCCTTCCCAAGGCGGTCGGACTTGGATTTGCAAGCACTGTATAATAATAAGCTGTTAAGTCTGGAATACAAATTGCTGTGGACTACAGGGGCAAGATAAATATTTTTTTTTGTCCCGTCCACACCTTTCAATTATTACAATTATCTCTACTTTTTATCTCTACTTTTATAAAATATTTCTTGAGTTTTTTATTTATTTAATGTATAGCCTAATAAAAGAAGAATATTTTTGACAATTTTGATGCCAAAATATTATATAATAAATTTTCTACAATTTTTTTTATAAAAATAGTTTTGTAATTTGTGCCTTTTGCGCGCCTGAAATTATATGTTTTTTTTTTGTTTTCTTTAGAGTATTTTTATTACGAAATATTTTTTGTGATTTTGTTTGTTTGTTAATTTAATATTTTTTTTTACATTTTCAATTACATATTGCCAGTTTGTAGCAAAATATATATTTTTTAAATTTTAGGGCTTTAAATTAAAATATTTAATGTATAATATTTAAATATAAAAGAGGCGCACCGAAGAATGCTGCACGCAGGCGCCAGACACCCCAGGAACATCAATGATTACTGTTTTATTTCCTCCATGTACGATTGTCTGAGGTAGGATTTTAAAGAAGTTTGCATAGTTCGATAATTTAATTTAAAACAATATTTTTTCTTACAAACAATAAATTAATTTTTAATAATTCAATACCCAAACAATGTATTCAATAATTATAATTATAATTACAACGAGACCTATGTTACAAGGTCGATCATACCTAGGAATAACAATCGACCTAAATGAGGGTACCGACAAATTTAGTCATTTCTTACTGAATCCTATACAATTGTATGTACTGAAATGGCAGCACTAAAAATATGTTATAGATCAAATTATATTTCCTCACATACTGCTGTGATGTTATCTGTATAGACCGAAAATGAAAATACGGTAAAGGCAATGTACACATTTCTAATGAAATAAACAGACTTAAACCATTTGCAGATGGATGTGAAATAATTTTAAAGGAAAAATTTAATAAACTGAATTTAAATATATTTGTTTTACACAAAATAAACAAAGTAAGCTATTGTTACACTCCTAGTTGAACAATGAAAATATTGTTTTGCACTAGTGAAACAATAAAAAGAAGAAGACAACGAAAATTGTAAACAATAAATTATAGCTATGATACATATTTACATAAATATGATTTTTAACATAGTTCACTATTTGGAACACAATTGTATTTTCATAGAAAGAAATAAAGAAGAAAAAAAATTAATTGTGAAAAAGTGAGACTAAATCTGACAGATGTTAGATTTTGTGGTAGTATACGACAGGCGACTGATTTTGGAATAAGCCGTCAGTTCTTTGGTAGTGGATCAGCTTTTAACTGAGTATAGTAATTTACGTTTATTTGATTGTCAGACAAAAAATTATGTAAAACTCGTAAATAATGGTCGATTCTGAATTTGCATCCTTGCCCTTGCTGACCATAATTTTTTTCTACAAAACTTCCTTAATGGTGTTAGGTTGGCTTTAAAACAGGCCTGTAAAAATCACTTGGTTAGGGTTTTTGCCCAGAAAACAGAAGTTTTTTCATTAGATTAATAAGTTTTCTTAAAATATGAAAAAGTCAACAATATTTGATTTATTAAAGTTTATTAAAAATAAATTTAATATTCAGTGTGACCCATTTGTTTGCGACTCACCCCTGTAAAATCTTTATTTATTGTGCGATTTTAACCGGATTTGTTTTAAAGTGTAGATCTTGAGAAACTATATTTTGGAGCAAAAAACAATTATGTATAACTTGTAAATAATGGTCGATTCTGAATTTGCATCCTTGCCCTTGCAGACCATCATTTTTTTTCTACAGAACGTCCTTAATGTTGTTAGGTTGGCTTTAAAACAGGCCTGTAAAAATCACTTGGTTAGGGTTTTTTCCCAGAAAACAGAAGTTTTTTCATTGGATTAATAATTTTTCTCAAAATATCAAAAAGTCAGCAATATTTGATTTATTAAAGTTTCTTAAAAATAAATTTAATATATAGTTTGACCCAATTGTTTGCGACTCTCCCCTGTAAAATCTTTATTTATTGTGCGATTTTAACCGGACAAAATACAAGGCTACAAAATTATACTATGTCAAGTTATCCATAAAAAACATTGAAATAAAACTAATAGTAAGATGGTACTATTACTATAAGTTTAATTTTATTTCAATGTTTTTTTCATGGATAACTTGACAGAATAAATTTTTGTAGTTATTATTGTGCATTTTTCTACGTAAAATTTTTCAATAAAATTTAGTAAAGGGTCGTTTTGAATCCATTGCCGTGCTTAGATTTTGTTTAAAAAAAATAATAAATCGCTAATATGAAAAAATTTACACTTAAAAACTGACATAGTAGGCCTTGTATTTTGTACAAATATGGCGTTTTTGCTCCAAAATACAGTTTATCAAGATCTACACTTTAAAACAAATCCGGTTTAAATCGTACAATAAATAAAGATTTTACAGGGGTAATTGGCGACTTTTTATTCACAAGAATAAAATTAAATTGATTTACCTATAAATATCTAAAAGATTTATTTATTTTTTCCCAAAAAAAAACGGTCTTTTGTGAACAAAGTCTGCTTCTCCAAATATTTTCATCTAAGATTTACTTGGCATTTACCCTTAATAACCTCTTTTAATCCTGTAAAGGCTTAGGTAGGGTAGCGCCTACAGTTATTGACACGTTAAGCAGTGGTTTTTTTGCCAAAGACATTTTAAATTATTGCCCAGGGTAATATTTAATTTTTTTATGTAGCATCCCGAAAAGTAATAGTTTATTGACAATAAACCGCTATTTTAGGTAGAAGCGGCGCATTTTTGTCTTTAAAATTGAGTAAAGTTGTTAAAGATGCCAGGACCATACTTATTGACAGGGTCTATATAGTCATTAACACACCTGTGTACACTGATTGACACTTTTGTTTCTATCTAACAGAATGTATCAGAAAAGGAAAAAAAACAATATTATAAAATATTATATTACAAAATATTAAATAGTTTGGAACATGTAACACATAAAAATTCTGACGGACTACAGTTTTCATTAGTAATCATTTTTTTTCTTAATAGACAGCTAGTGTGATAGCGCCTGGGACAACGCTGACACTGAAAACTTGACTGATATTTACTCGTTATATTAAATGTGCAAATAAAACATAGGCCTTTTTGGTTCGTTGATGATTTAAAATTGGTTTTACATTGCTCTTGAATATTTGCCCCATTGTTATTTTCGTTAAATAAGGTTTTTTTAACCTTCTTGATTGCACAGCTATCCAATCCTTTGGGAAAGGTTTTTTCACTTTTTATATTACCATTGGTATCGAGTCTTTTATCTTTTTTCTCTTCTTGTCTTCCATCCTTGCCAATATCTTTATCAATATTACTTGGTCTATTCTCCATCTCCTCTATTTGTTTTTTATCTTTGGCTGTATCTTCTTCAATATCATTTAGTTTCTTGTTGCATTTCTGTGTTTGTTCTTCATCTTTGGCTTCATCCTTTTTCTCTCCTTGTCTTCCATCAATATTACTTAGTTTGTTCTCCATCTCCTCTATTTGTTTTTCATCTTTGGCTTTATCTTCATCAATATCATTTAATTTATTTTCCCTTTCCTGTGTTTGTTCTTCATCTCTATCTTTAGTTTGTTTTTTATTAATATTGCCCTTGTGTATGAAAGATACGAATGGGCTTTCAACTGGCAATTCGCAATCTACGTCAAGTAGTTTGATTTTTTCTTTTGGACTCACAATCTGTCTGTTAGATAAAATAATAATTTTAGGTGTCGCTTTCTTCAACTTATTTGTTGTTTCCTCTGGTTCCGACCTTTCGATGTTGTTTAAGAGATCCGTCTTTCCAACAGTTCTTGATTGCTTTTTTTCCTTCTTTTTGTCTTTCGCCTTCGAATTAGCTCCTTTCTTTGCAGTCTTCGTTGTTGAAACTTTGTGTAATTTTAATGTTTTCTTTTCTTCTCTTTTCCTTTTTTTTTCCTTTAACTCATCCTCTTTGATCTTTTTCTCATTTATCTTCTTTAAATGCATTTCTTTGAATTCCGCCGATGTTACTGCGAAGGGTGTCCTTTCAACTTCCTTTTTGCCCTTTCTTACTGGAGTCTTTGGCCAGAATAAAATATCATTGATCGTTGTGCTTGAGTCTACTTTTTTTTCAGGCGTGTTTTGTTTCACATTGGAGGTCGCAGCAGCTTCATTAAATTCGTCTTCAGCAGTTTCATGATATCTATTTAAATAAAAATCGATTGGCTCGTCAAATAATTTTTGTGAGTCTTTAGGAAAAGGGTCAGCCCCTTTTTGGTAATCTTCGTCAAAATTTTCAATTTTCTTGAGGGTGAGATTGTCTTCTATTACATAATCTCCGCATATAATATCATTAAGCAACATATCGTGTTCTTTAATTATAAGAGGCAAATCCGAAAAAACGGAATCTGATGGTACCATGATGCTTTGGTCGAAGTTGTCTTCAAGGGTTGGAATATTATTTAGGGCTTTGGAATCTGATGGTACCTTGATACTTTGGACAAATTTATCTTTCTTAAACATAGCCCACAACTGAAACAATTTATTCAAATACGGAACTTCTATGTATTCATCATCCTTAATTCCTTCAAATTTACGAATCAGATCCTGTCCCAGAATTCTGTTGACTGTTTCTTCATTTAGTGTAGGTTCCAATCGAGGAATGTCTTTGGCAATGTCACTTTTGCTTTTATAGATATGACCCAAGCACTTACTGAAGTCGATAGCATCAGCTTTCCATGGAAATATACCACAAGCCTTAAATCCATGTTGAATTGTCTTTGGTTTCATACATTTATTCAAGACAAGATTCAAAATTGGAGCAAATTTTTCTTTGGTAAGGGCTTCATTTGGATTACTTCGTCTCCATTCAAGGACTCCCTTTTTCCATGCGTCTTTTAGGGGCTTGAACGCCGCAACATCTGCCGGTTGAAGTATGCGTGTAGCATTGGGGTATAAAGCAATGAGGGTAATCCGTAGTTTTGTACATAATTCACTAAGTTGATAAGTTAGATGAGTTTTGTGGCCGTCTACAAATAGTATTATCGGAAAGATTGTTTTCTTTTCAATAAGGCTCGGGTAAAGTATTTTAGATATATATTCATAAAACAATTCGGCCTTCATCCAGCCATTATCACTTATACCGTATCCCCAATTATCAGGTAGAGATCTTGATATTTCTAAAGTTCTTCTTTTATTGGGATAAACAACCATTGGTGGCGTAACACTACCATCCGCACCCATAGTGAACATGACTGTTAGAGAAGATTTTGCCTTTCCTCCATCTACTTCGTATACATTCTTTGATCCTCTTTCTGCTATGACTTTTCGTCCCTTGGGGCACAGCTGAAAATTAGTTTCATCCCCGTTAAATACTCTGCTAGGATCATTTAATATCTCCTTCTGTCCTTCAGCTGTTAAAAAGTTCTCAATAGTTTCAAACCATTTTTTGATGTCAGTTTCGCTCACAGTTGAGCTAGCTTGAGTAACCCCTTCTGGAGTTCGTTCTGACAGTACTGGGTGTCGACGTAAGAAAGCTTTGAACCATCCGGTTCCCGGTGTGTTTTTTTTGAATGGATTATCTCGTGGAACTTTATCTAAAAATTCCTTTACGCTGTGAACGATATCTTCCTCTCTTCTAGGAAATCCCTTTTTTTGACAGGTCAGTATCCAGGAAACAAGTGTATTTTCCTCCTCATCACTTAAAATCGGTTTAGGTCCATGAGTTGTTTTAATAAATTTTTCACTTAAGCGGAAAATTAGGGTTGTTCTTGGAACGTCGTATTTCTTAGCTGCGGCTTTCTTGGACATGCCATTTTTAATAGCTGACAGTGCCTTTTGCACTCTGTCTTCTGAATAAGGCTTTATGTATGTATGTCCTTTTTTTACTTTAGGCATTTCCAATAAAAAACAAAGCTGGTTAAGGAAAACGTAGGGTACTTGGTAGCAATTCGGCACCTGCAACCAATAGTACAATTATTGACACTGCGTCCACAAGATAGTTATTGACACTGTCAATAAATGTCTGCAGCGTGTTTAAAATCAATGTGAGAGAAGTTTTCACAACCAGTATGTTTTACATAGTCATTAACCCCCATAGCAATAAAAATTAAAAATCGGCTAAAATCACAGTTATTGACACTTGGTGTCAATAACTGTATTTTCCCGCCTTTTTAGATATAGTCGTTGACATTCTAAAATTTAAGGTTAAAAACGAAATTGTAGCTTTACTAGCCTTTCTTACAAGTTTTAAATAATATTTTTAATGCATTTAAGTAAATAAGAACTGACTAGTCAATAAAATACTAATATTGTAGCATGACTCCCGTTGGCTGATCTTTAAAAAATTAAGAAACACTTACCTTATAGCACTATGTCACCACACACTGACATGTTTCAACGCAATTTATAATTTGTTGTTGCCAACATAAAGAGATGAAAATTTCTACATGGTGAGAGATGTAACTATATTACAGGTTCCTTTTTCCAAAGTGTTTATGATAATTACAGATTCCTTGATAATTTTAAAGTAGTTATACAGGTGTCAATAACCGTAGGAGTGTCAACAACTGTGCCGGCTACTTCAATAATTAATTTTTATTGTTTAAATTAATTACTTCCATTCTATAATAAACCGGGATTCATTTAGTGAGGAAGTTTGCACTACAAAAATAACAATCAAACAAAAGGGTTTTAATAATTAAATTAAGAATATTTATTGTGAACAAAATCCTAACAGGTAATTTATTATTATATTAATCTTAATCGATACATTCATGGAGAATTTTGTGTAAAATTCAATGGCCTGCTAATTTAATTAAACAAATTTGCGTTTGTCAAACTTGATAAATAATACCAGTATAGCAATGCTAATATCATGTTAAATACCATTAAGGTATACTAGCTTAATGATGTTATTATCAAATTATAGAAAATTTACGTACGTCATTTCTAAGCAGTGTTGTTTCTGGCGTTCATTTAATTTTGCGATATGACACTGACACTGACAAATAAATAAACATCAATTTGTAAAGTCACATTTACTGTATAAGAATATGGGTATAAAAGCATATCGCTTAACAGTTTTCTTTTATTTTTCAATGTGGGCAATTATTTTCATTAATTTCTTATATTTTTATTTATTACTAGAGCATGGATTTCAAAGCATTATGCTTATCGTTTAAATTACAAGCAAATATCGACTTTTTGCCAAAGTATCGCAAGTAACATAACCCAAATTTCGAAAATTGAAAACATTTTGCTTGTCTGTTTTAAATTAAATATAGCCTAAAGGTTTTATAATAAGTAATTACTTAGCTTATAATTATAGCTATTTACTTGTTATAAAACCTGTAGGTTATATTTGGTTTAAAACAGACTTTAAAACAAAAATGTTTTCAATTCCCGAAATTTGAGTTATGTTGTTTGCGATACTTTGGCAGAAAGTCATCGATATATGCTAATTATGAGTATGAGTATGAGTATGAGTATGAGTATGAGTATGAGTATGGGAACGTATGGCAGGCCCCAGATATATTATCATCCACTGATCTCCCGGGGTTATTTTACCCCCTTTCCGTTCTCCTGCGTATCCCGCCAAATCACAGCATTACCTGTGTTTGTTGGATCCGAAGTTTTTACGCCGGCTGGTAGATCCACCCTAGGAGTTCGTGTATGACAGTGTCAAAGGTTAAGGCCGCTCCCGGGATTTTTGCCAGCCGGGTCGGGCCATACGTCCAGTTTAGGAAGGGTTTTTGGAGGACATTGAACTGACCCAAAACTAAGTACAATCCGGAATCCTCCTCAACCTAGGCCTTAGTAGTACCCCCATTCAATTGGTATTCGTGAATGGGGGGTGGGTATGTTAGTTATTTTCTTATTGCGATTGACCGGTTGCTATTGTTATGTCTGAAGGATATCTTGTCAGTACGCCCCTGTTCGTGATGTATTTCGATTGCGACGTTAAATATGTCTGATGCTGCTATTATTGTTTCCAAACCCAGCCAGAAGCCGTTTTGTGCGTGGTCCTTTAAGTACGCCTCTGTTTTGCGTTCCCAGTCGTTAATATGCGCGTAGCGGTGGGGTTGGTCAAGGATCGCATCCTGTAAGTATGGGCTGTAAGTCTCAATGTGTGTTCGTAAGTGGTTATTTAGTCTTTGTCTTAATGCGTATGTACTTATTGACCCAGTCAGGCTATTATCTAGTTGATGGGCCAAGCTGGCCACTAAGCAATTTCCGTCGGATGGAATTTTAATTATTCCCACCGAATGATCGCTCGTGTTTACTATTTCCATGTTTGTTTGGTTTGTGTTTATTATTATTTATGGTTTGGCGTTTATTTATGGTATTAGTTAAGTGTTTATTTGGGGGATGGAGTCTTATCTGCCTTTTCTGTTTTGTTTATGTAATGATTTGTGTGTTGTCTGTCTCAATAATTGATTAGAATGTTAATTTCTGGTGCCAGCTGGGGAACTTAAAATTCCTTTTCGAAATATGATACGTTTTACTTTAGCTTTTTTGGAATAAAATGGTTTTGTTAATAAGACATGCATGCAAGTGAATAAGTAATTAAGGCCAACCGGTCCACCTGGTCAGAAGGGATAGTCACAACCAAAGCCTATCAATAACCTGTAGGAAGGTCCAGAAACATCGGACAGACCGTGAAAGACCGAGCATCAGGATTATAGCCGAATATCCAAGCTAAGTAATTTTTCTAACTGCAGTTAGAAAAATTACTTAGCTTGGATATTCGGCTATAATCCTGATGCTCGGTCTTTCACGGTCTGTCCGATGTTTCTGGACCTCCCTACAGGTTATTGATAGGCTTTGGTTGTGACTATCCCTTCTGACCAGGTGGACCGGTTGGCCTTAATTACTTATTCAATTGCACTCTTTTACGGCTTTAACATGGGATCTCCCGCCCTTCATACTTGTTTCACTTTTTTTTTGCACTAGTTGCACTCTTTTTGCACTTGTTGCCCTAATCGCACTCTCCGCACTTGAATGTTTATTTATTTATTTATTACCGATTACCGATATTTTCGAATACTTAGGTTTGTTTTTGGAACTTTATTACATTCTCTCGTATACGCTGCTAGGAGAGGTATCTTTAACTACTTGAAGCGTCTATCCACTTCGGGTGTCAAGACGCAACTGCATCGATATATGCTAATTAAACAAATAAATAAATTATAAAAAAAATGTTTATGACTTTTATTGATTTTTAATCATATTTCGGAAATTTAAAACATTTTGCTTGTCTGTTTTAAATTAAATATAGCCTAAAGGTTTTATAATAAGTAATTACTTAGCTTATAATTATAGCTATTTACTTGTTATAAAACCTGTAGGTTATATTTGGTTTAAAACAGACTTTAAAACAAAAATGTTTTCAATTCCCGAAATTTGAGTTATGTTGCTTGCAATACTTTGGCAGAAAGTCATCGATATATGCTAATTAAACAAATAAATAAATTATAAAAAAAATGTTTATGACTTTTATTGATTTTTAATCATATCTTATG